TGTGTGAGTGTGTGTGTGAGTGTGTATGTGTGTGTGTGTGTGTGTCAGTTGTTCCCCTCGTTGTCACTGTGCTCGGCGCGCTCGTCTTTGCTCTCACTGAGTGAGCTCTCGTCGATGTTCTCCAGAGATTCGGCGTGTTGGATGGAGAGTTCGGACAGCGGGATGCTGGACAGTGGGTTCTGCTCCGGGAATAACCACGGCTTAAAACCCGGACTGTGCTTCTGCTTCCACTCGGGATACCGAAGACACGCTTTACTGATGCGCTTCATCGCCTGAGACACACACACACACACACAAACACACACACACACAGATGTTATGAAAAATTAGGAAATAAATTAATAAACAAACAATGGACAATTAGATTAAAAGAAATACAATTATATAAGTAGATTAAAATAAGTAATTCAATACATAAAATTGGTCAAAATAAATTATAGACCATGATTACAATAAATATTAAAACAAAATAATTACATTTTAAATTAAAAAATTATTATAATAAACAATTCCATTTTTGATTGAAATTTATATTTACATTTCTTTAGTTGGCAGACGCTTTTATTCTAAACAACTTACAGTTGAAAATAAATAATAATAATAAAACAGTGATATTTAAATAACTTAATAAATAGAAAATAAACAATAGGAAATTAGACTAAAAACTATTTTGAAAGTAGATTAAAATAGATTAAAAATAAATACTAACATCATTAAATTTTAAATAAATTTTAAAGAATACAACAATTTGATTATAATAAACAATGATAATTTTGATTTTAAAAACAAAATCTATAAAAGTGATAAATAGCTAAATAAACATAAAATAAATAAACGATGGAAAAACAGAAAATAGACGATGGAAAATTAGATTCAAATAAAACAATTATAAAAATAGATAAAAATAGATTATTAAAAACAAATGAAAAATGGTTAAAATAAACAAAAATCCGAAAAAGATAAGAAAACAAAAATTATTACAATAAATAATACATGTTTTTGAGTAAAATAAATAAATAAAATAATACAAATGACACTAAAAATTAATTAACAAAATTAATCAAATTATTTTTGTCTAAACACTCAGCAAAACATTGTCTAATTAACGTTATCAACAAAATCCCTAAAAAATATTGAGATATAATTTTTTGTCAGTATGCACAGCCCTTTATGAGCCTCTGAACTAACAGAGGGCTGAAACTGAAGTGTGTTTGTGCTCACACACTCACTCACACACACACGCACACGCACGCACACACACACACACACACTCACACACACACACACACTCACACACTCACACACACACACGCACACACACACACACACACACACACT